CCCCCCGCGGCTCGGCGGCGGCGGGCCCCGATTCAGCCGCTGCTGAAACTGACCAGCAGCGGCTGAATCAGGGACTCCTGGGGCAGAGCCGGACTATCAGAAGGGAGGGCTATGAGGGGGTCTGGGGTAGCATCCCCCCACCCCACCCCTCTCATAGCCCCCCTTCTGATAGTCTGGCATATCTGATAATCCGGCACCCCCTGGGTCCTAAAGGTGCTGGATTATCGGAAGTTTACTGTACATGGTTTTCTGACCCTATTTTTATTGTTCCATTTACAACTGACCATATCCTGAAATGATGCAATTTTTTTCTGCCTCTTAAAACAATTTCCACAGAAATGAACAAATGCAACATTTCTAATAAATAATCAAATGAAAAATGCATTTCACCTTTACTTGGAAGATATGGGAGAACTCTGGGTGATTAAGAATGAATCTTGTAACTGAGGTATCGAGACTTTCCAAAAGCACCACGGAACACAAAGGGGCAAAATTTTTCAGCAGTTTAATTCTAGCATCTGTAATGTGACAAAAGTTAGTCTTAAAACACTGTATTTCATGCAAATTAGAATTTGTCCAAAAATGGTACACTGGGGCAAATACTTTCTATATTATCTTTCATAATACTTGTATGGCAGATAGCACCCTCATGTGGACAAATGTGGAAAGAGAAACACATTTTATGAGATTTGCCAAAGAAATCAGTGATGTGCAGAATTCGAATTCATGAGTTCCTATTTTCCAATCCTGTACTTGAAGGAATAAACTACAGTGCTCCATAGAAAATGAGGTAGAATATTGCATCCTAAAGTAAAGCAACTACAGTCAGTCATTTTCCCTGCCAAAAAATGGTAAAGGCAATCTTTACCTTGAGAGTTTGCCAATGGTTGCCAAGGATGTGAAAAGTTAACAGCATGAGTTCCGGTTAACTAGTAGGGGCTGGAGCAGCTCCCCAGCCACTGTGGGAAGGGAGTTTCATTGGTTAACCAGTTAAACATCAAGTTTAACCATTTAACCAATTAAATGGGACTTTACATTCCTCATGATTACATGTACAACTATATGCGAAATGTTTGTCTGTATAAACGTAGTGTGAGAAAGATGCTGTCTGCACAGCTTGATAGGCTATAGTGCCCACTGGACAGACACTGCATGGAACACAAAGTTCCAACATGCCTCAGTCCAGGTGAGCTATTATGGTTATGTAGTCTGACCCCTTAAGTTCCAACAGGCCACAGAATTTCAACCAGGGATTCCTGCATTTAGCTCAACAATTCATGGTTGAATAAAGCACATATTTTAGAAAACCATCCCGTATTGATATAAGGACTAATGGAAAAATTACCATCAATGGAAAAATTACTACAGCATTTGTTAATCTATACCAATGGTTAATTACACTCATTGTTAAAAATGTTATTCTAATGGGAACTTATTCTGCTTTGCCTCTACAAAGACAGCTAGAAAAGGCATCAGCAGCAGTAGTGGATATGTAGCTAGGCTCAGACCACCCTAACTCATTTCAGAGGCCACTGAGTAGTGTCATGTGACTTTGAATCACTACTCTAGTCCTCATTCAGAATGGTGACAGATAAAAAGGCTTCTTTCACTACAAGGCCTCTGGAATTCTTAAATCCCCCCTAAAGCAATTGGTTAAGGGCAGCCCTATATGTAAGCAGCTCTAATAGCATGGCTCTTCACACGCCCCAATAGGAGACTCCAAGGCACATTGCTCAGTCCAACATACCACGGGGCACGTGATGGGCTCTGAGCATTGCCCTAGCTGACATCCTCATCTCCTTCTTGGATTTCTCCAACGTCTCGTAGGTCACCGCTTCGATGGTCAGGGCGCAGTGGGTCTGCGGGGAGAAGAGGTTGTAGGGAGGCTGCTCCTGAGTGATGGTAAATCCAAACACCCGAACTGCACCGTAGAGGCAGGTCAGGCGGCATTTCCCAGTGAACGTCAGTTTCTGCAGCGAGAACAGGAAAGGATGAGATGCTGAGTGAGCCTGAGACAGGGCAGCGTCTGGCAGACAATGAGACAGCCCCTGTCATGGCAATTCACACATGGGGGAGCAGGTGTGCCAGGCTTATGCCCCCTCCCGCTCTACCCAGGAGTGGCCACAGCACCTCCACCCTGCTCCT